AGCTCTTGCCTTGTCCCCTTTCAGCCCTAGATGAAACTCAGAGAAAATGATGCAGAAAATGAAGGAATTTGGGGGGAAGGAAGTCAGCTGAACACCATAGAATACATGAAGGGCTTTGAGTTAAAACACATGCGAATTTTTATCTTAACCTATCTCTTCCCTTATTTGTATAACTTGGGATTAAAATTTCTGCTTTATCTTCTAAATGCCTTGTCCCCTTTCAGCCCTAGATGAAACTCAGAGAAAATGATGCAGAAAATGAAGGAATTTGGGGGGAAGGAAGTCAGCTGAACACCATAGAATACATGAAGGGCTTTGAGTTAAAACACATGCGAATTTTTATCTTAACCTATCTCTTCCCTTATTTGTATAACTTGGGATTAAAATTTCTGCTTTATCTTCTAAACCCTGACACACCTAGCACTGATGCAACCAGCACTGCAGTAACAGTAGCAGAGCTTTGCACCATGGAGGTTGTGGTGGACAGAGCAGCCCATGGTACTCCTAAGGAGACCTTCAAGGAGCTAGCATGGCTTTAGGGCCACACACTGGCACCAAGGCAAAACACATACATGAGGTGAGACTGAGATCAAGATTTCCTGCCCTTTTGAAGACAAAGATGAAGTGGTGGTGGAGCAAGGAGGAAGAGGATGGACGGGGAGAACAGAGCTGCACACCAGAACCAGAAATCCCCTTCCTCCAAAGCCTCAGATAGCACTAACCCCCATCTGAGGCTTGTGACTATTTTTCAAGGCTTTATCATCATTTGAGCAGGCACCTGTCACTGTTGCTTAGCATTATTGTGAATTGAAGAAATTATTTTAAAATGTGACCTTTGGCTTGGCATAGCCTGCATGGAGCCCCTCAGCCTAGGAAGGAGCAGCCCCATGGGAACCTTGTGCTACATGACAGAGCAGCTTCTGCTGCAGAGCAAGAGGTCAGCCATACCCTAAAGCCAGGGTAGTAGCTAGACAAAAGTGTTTCTGAAGAAGCTGGGAACAATCTAAGTCCCCAGTTATCTTTTTAAAATCACATGGAAAGATTTCCCAAGGCACATGACTGCATGGGTCACCTAAGGACACTCAAGTGCTCCACTCATCAAAAGACACTGGGATGCAACTGGCACTCACACACATCTCAGGAGCAGGAAAGCAAAGTACACAAGGTGCAAACTGGGTGCAGAGGTGACAGTGCTGCCCCTCTGCTCTGCTAGCTCAGCCTGGCTCCAGCAGCTCCAGTCACTCTACAGCTGGGGCAGGACATGCCCATGGAGAAGAATGAAGGCTTTTGAGGGGAACAAGGTCGGAATGTTTATGGCTGAAACGCTTCAGGAGGGACACTTAGTTTGGATAGATGCTAAATGTTCTCCAAAGAAAATGCAGATCTGGTCAGCACACAGAGGACCTCTCAAGCCAACTGGGCTAAGCATCAAAGCCATATTGGGCAGTTTACCATACTGCATTTCCTTCACAAGAAGAGTCAAAGACATGTCACTCAAATGCAATGGCAGCCACTCAGCTCCAAACCCCAGATGTTTTCAGATGCGGGTCTGGGAAATGGATGCTTCAGCCTTCCCACTGTTTCCTTGCTTTCCTAGAAGATGCTTGAACTTTACATTCATCTTGAAGTGACTGTTTACATGTGTGTGAGTATCCAGGTCAAAACATTTTCTGCTTTTTATCTTATGTATGTCAGGTTTCCTGAAGCTGCTAATGATTTAAATAAATCTCAGAGTCAGATGTCTGTTTCAAATTCTATGAAGTAATATCAACTGACACTTGGTTTGAAAAAAAACCCAACTACTCACATCTTCATTAGATAGATGAGGACAAAATTATGATCAATTATTTTCCCTCAGATGAATTTCTCTTGAGAAAAACTAAATCAATCTGTTCATTTAGCAAATGAGACACAACAGGGCATAGAGTACCAAGGCTCCAGTGGGCAGGAGCATAGGCAGAGCTGCTGTGCTCTGGGGATGAGCAGCACCACACAAAGATCTCTGCCAGTCACTAACTCAAGAGCCCTTTGAGAGCCACTGTGGGGTCCTCAACCTGGTCCTCAATCACCTTAAGATCCCTCTGGTGGGCTCTGTCCACCTCAGGGGACAGAGCCTGCCCTGAAGAGCCACCTCAGGGGACAGAGCCTGCCCTGACTACTGCCAGACTTTTTGGAGAGCAAAAAGGGCCAAGCGGATCCCCAGGCTGATAAGACTGAGCTCTCCTAGACAAAGATGAGGGGTCTTGTGACTCAGTGCCCCTTTCAGTAATTCAGGACCAACACCAGACAGTACCAGGGAGGACTTGTGAGATCTGCTAAGAGTGTAAATCTGATTTCACCACAGAGTACTGGTCTCAATTTACCCAAACCATGGATGCATAAACCCTTTCCCTGCACTACAGATAGAAAAAACTAAATTAAAAAGCAACTGATTGCCATCTGACAGCTCCTGTGCCTCTCTCCTCAAATCTTGATAATATATGACAGCTCAGATCTTCTCACGTCTAGTCCCAGGACTTCAGGCACATCATGTTGGTAAAGGGCTGGGGCAGCCTAGTGGGGAGACAGCTATAGAAAGGCAATCAAAACAACCAAATTGCTGCTACTTTAGTAGTGATAATAAAGAATCTAGATGGCCAGGATATTTCCATGTACTTACAGAATGCCAAGAAAGCATAGCTTTGATTTAGCTAAGCCTATTTTTCAAATAATGAAGCTTAGGGTAAACAAGATGTGACTTCAGGATGCTAAAAGTGAAGATTATTGCTCTATTCTGGCATATCAAATACAAAATTACATAGCATTCAGGACTGTTGCATAATTGATCCTACACAGCCTGGTGACTATAACCCCCATGTCATCCACAAGTTCAGGTGGTCTTGTAACAACTGTGTCATTAAAGTATAAGTTTGTATTCACAACGGAAGTTTAAATATACTGCTTTAATCTGAAACATTCTCCATAGGTATAAGTAACAGAGAACTATCCTAGAAAGACAGAGAAAGATAAAAGGCAAAGGTTTTTCTCTATTCCAGCTGTGTACTGAGTGTAGCCATTCTACAATCTGTTTGTAGTGCATTTTTCTGTTCCCTTGCAGAGTCAGCCCTGGATGTGCACAAGAAATAGAATTGCCATCCACTGGGAAGTGTTGACCTATTGCAAACTGCTGCAGAATCAGAATGGGAAGATGAAAAGTTTGTGGCATGAAAAATTAAAAAAATTTACTGCACAGAAATGTCAAAACAAAATGTGTTTGCTGGGAATGAAACAATCCAACTTGTTGGCATGACATTTCTCATTTTAAAATACCACATCAAATTGATATTTCACAAAGACCAATACCATTTCATTTTGAAACACTGGCTTGCAGCAGCATTTTTCATTCTGATTTTCCCAGATTTTAAAAAAACCATCCAATTCATTGAAAGTTGCAACTGTCACTAAAACCTTTTCCTTTCCTTCTACAAAGCTGGCCCTGCAAAACATGATGACCTGCTCTCATCATCTTGCTTTTCTTGCTGTTTGTGTGAAAAGTCTATGTACCAGTGCAAGAAAGAAAAACAATTTTTGGAACCTGGAAACCAGTGAAACCATAAGAAGAACAACTGTGCAGTACTTGCAGTTATATTCACTATATCTTCTGATGTGACTAATATTCAAGTAGTTATTGTTGATTTTACCATGCTGTGAAACAGATATTATTCTCCTGCCTAAAGACAGGCATGCAACCGCATTCAAAAGAGATGCACATAATGACATGCTTCATTTGCACATACAAATCAGGGACATTTTTAGCAGCCTCCCCAGGCTGAGCCTTTTATATGCGCAGCTACCTGGTTTGCATGCGTAACCACGAGGGTTAAGGATGTACAGCCAAGGGGAAGCGAGCACACCATTGCCTACTAAATTATTTCACAGCACCCCTGAAGAAGCCAGTGATTGTTATCCTCCCTGTTTTATAGATGGGAACAGTGAGAGAACTTACTGACATGCCCAAAATCACAAAGGGAGCCTGAAGCAAAGGCAGGTTTTGAAGCCGTATCTTCAGGGTCTTGCTCCAGCAACTCTGCTGCAAGGCGCATGTGACTGCTCTTGGCTCAAACATTTCCCAGAATATGCTTTTGAGAACACCAATTCATACAGCTTTTTTGGTCTCAGTGAGACTGAAAAAACCCGAGATCATCCTCATTAAATTCTCACCAGTTTAATGGCCAATCTAATATTGAGAGAATGCAGACCGTGATGTTATAAATACCATAGCAATTCAGTGCATTTTGAAAGGAAAAAGACTGAAAGATGAGAGGAAATTATAGTTCTCTTTGTCTTTGATCTCTGCAGATGAGTGGCGTGTGGTGTTCCTGAGCAGCATTAAGTGCTCAGCACAGGCTAGCACAGAGACGAGCTGTCCACCCTGTACTGTGGCTCCTGCACCAGACCCTGCTGCTGCCCAGGGCCTCCTCCAACATCAGGTGGAGTTACCAGGGTTTAACTAAATGCTGCCTAAGGAAAGGGGCAGGCAGAACAGGCAAATTCTCCTATTTTGCTATAGCAAACTTTATTTGCTATAGCAAACTTTAGAAATCTGTTTGAAGCTGCCTCAGAGCTGGCATCATGGGGATATACAACAAATCTTACCTGTGCCTTTGCTGCCATGCCTTTGGTGATGTTACACGGGTTTAAACTCAGGATGGGGAGCTCTTGGTCTTCAGACTTGTGTGACTCCAGGCAGTTCTGCCTTTGCTTGATTATCCCAGTTTGATAGAGCGATTCCTCAGGAATCCTGTGGGAACAGCATGAAAACAACATCCCTACTGCCCCAAGCACATGGAGTACCCAAAGGGAGGCTCAGTGGGGTAAGCTTGCACCATTTCGCCTTCAGAAAATGAGAGTGGCAATATCTATTACAATACTGAACCACTGAAAGCAGTACATGGACAGGGACGCTCCAGAAGCAGTGCCTGGAGATGGATGGCAGACCTTTATAAGAAGAAAAAATAAGGAACAGTGCACAAGGCAAACAGAGGAGCAAGGAATGGACTGTGAGCAGGCTGAAGGTCAGCCTTCAGCTTACAGTAGTGGGGAACTTCATAACAAACTGCACAGAGCCCTGGCATTCCCTGTGAATGGTGCTGTGCAATGCCACACATGGCAACAAAAAGCAAGAAAACAGCTATAAATCATCATTTTCACATGGTGATTCTTCACTCAGCCATTGCACCAGCAGGTCCCTGGAGGTATCCCCACAAGTTTTCCACTCTTTCTAGGATGGCTTCTGATAGGGACCAGGGAATGAATCCCACAGTTTCTGGAGTAATTTTGGTAACTAAAAGATACCAAAAAAAGCAACTGTGCAAAAGCAACTGTGGAAGTACATATTAAGCAAAGCACTAGGCTAGAAGCAAAGCAGAGTCACCAGAATACAGGTCATAAAATCCTGTAGTGGATGGTTTCACAACAGAGGAGTCTTGAGTATCACAGAACAGTGTGAAAGGACTGGAAATTAGGTGCTTGTTTTGTAGAGTCATTACATACTGAAACAACCCAGAAGAGGCTACGGTGGATTTTCTACCTTGGTATACTTTTGTAAGGAAAACTAGCTATTTCTCCATAGAACCTGTTCCACAGCAAGGGCAGGAGCATACCTGAGGAAGCCCTGAGAACAAAGGGAAATTTGCTTTGCTCCTTACCAGACCTGCAGCAACAAGGCACAGGGTTTATAGGACTGCTTAGAGAAAGCAGAATCACAAATGAACCATGTCACCTTGTGAGCAAGCTGTGTTTAAAGCCAGCACAAAATCCACTATGCCTTTCTGTGAAGCCCAAGGGAGGGGGTGCCTATGTCTCTGAGGCAAGGGGAGGTGTGGGGACTGGAGGTGAAGAGGAAAGCTTTGTGGGGCAGGAGGGATGTGGCATCAGGCTGGCCTGCTAGGGACAGGTGGAGATCACACATCCATACCGAAGTTCGGGATAAACGTTTTCCAGGTACCACTTGAAGCTGTGGCATTTCAACTTCTTTCGCAGCTCCACTCTGCTTTGGACACTGTGGGAAGAAAACATCAGACAGATACAATGGAAATTCTGAAGGTGAGAGACAACACATCAGAAAGGGAGGCTGAGAGAAACCCAACAGATCTGCATAGACAGAAAACACAACAGCATCAGCAGCTCTGTTTTCTGCTCTCTTCTGCATGAGCTTGAGTGGTTGTTTTCGTCTCAGTCTCTTTGGAGGTCTTGCTTAGTAAAATGGCATGATGATGTGCTGCCATTTTAACAAGGAGCCTGCAGTTTGGTGGAAAACGTTAATGGAAAAATACAGTAATTTAAAAATTATTAGTAAAAAATGTATCCTGTCTACTACATGCAATAAGCATTATTTTAATACACTAATGCACTAGGAAATTAATATATGCTATTCTAAATTATTCTTAGTTTACAGGACTACAGGAAGCCTTGATTTCCAAGAGCACCGAAACACACCTTTAAGTCAGAAGTTAATTTCACAGTGAAATATTTCTTATTTCATTAACCAGGGCAAAATTTCTGCTGAGGGATCATGCTGTACAGCAACATTTTCCAAACTCCATCTCCTCCCTAGGCCAGCCTCTACCTATGGAGCTGTTATGATATGGCATTTACAGAGCAGTCAGAAACTTCCTGTACCTTCCCTTCACATAGGTGAACTTGTCTACACCTTCCTATGTTTAGCAGGACAGAGCTGTTACTTCTTTCAGCGCTGATGGATGGAAAGAGGACATGAATTCCAGGTCAGTCACCAGGACTTCAATTTATTTATCCTGGATTTTGAAGAGTAGTCACAAGGAATTTGGGTTTGGATTTGGTAACCCCTGTGGTTCAAAGGAAACTTTCTAAGGAAAGGAGGAGCATATGAAGATGATGACACATATGATGAAAATATAACACAAATATTTACAGTCCCCCTGAACAGGGAGGTGTTTCTAACCGTTCACAGAATGGACGGCAAACTCCTTCCATACAAAGCACTTGCTCCTTTCCAATAAAGCATTAGCAGGCCCAAAACCTGATGATTTTCCTGCCCCTCGGCTGCCAGCAGCACCACTGGACTCTCCCCACCAAACTCTGTTCTGGTACCAGAAGTACTTGCACCTAATGCCAAGGGCAGGGCATAGGCAGAGGGGGTTTTCCCTCACTTTGATTCAGTTCATTCACTGGGATAAATTAGCACAGCATTTAAACTGGCTGTTTATATATCTCATTGCTGTGCTCATAGCACTTGCCTACCATTAGCATTTATTTGAGTGTTACTACAGAAACAAAGCAGGCAGGTTTCCACAGCAGGGCAAGGTCACCATGAACACCCACTGCAGCAGACAGGGCACAGGCAGCAGAGGAAGACCCTTACTTTCCATAAGGCCTCCCCTGGGCTGCAGGACGAGCTGCGTAGTAGTACTGCTTGAACTCATCCATCCACACCTCTGCAGTGCGCTTGGTGTTTCTGAAGGAGGCAACAAAAGACAGGTGAAACCAAGAAAGCTTCCAAGGTAACATTTTTTTCAAAGGCATCAACTGATTCATCCCGCTCTCCTTCCGTCCTCAATTTGGTCTTTGGCTTCACCCAAACTACCTTTGAGCCAGCCCAACCCTCACTACTAGAGAAAGTACTTCTCCTCCCCATTGCTCCTGGGACCAAACACATCAGACCAAACAAAGCTTTGGTGAAGAGTTCACCATTTCAAACTCAGCTGGATGCTTTGCATCCACCAGACTCAAAACTGAAGGTTCTCTTAAGCATCATCTCCCAGGGAAGAGGACCTGGACTTTTATTTAGTGGCTAGGATGGAGCTCTGAAAAATGGTGAAAAATTTGCCAAAGATTTGAAAATATTTCCCTTGTGGGTGACCATGCACTAGAACAGATTGCCCAGAGAGGTTGTGGAGTCTCCCCCACTGGAGATATCCAAGAACCATCTGGATACAATCCTGTGCAATGTGCTCTGTGATGACCCTGCATAAGCAGGGAGGTTGGACCAGATGACCCACTGTGGTCCCTTCCAACTTTATCCATTCTGTGATTCCGTGTCAGTCCTGTATGAACTCTCCTGTTTTGCATTCTTGGATTTCACTGATGCAAACCTCAGCATTCAAAACTTAAGAGAAATAACCCCACCACAATGCTGTAGCATGAATGTCTGTCTTCCACATCAGCCAGGTGTCAGCAGAAGGTTCAGCAAATCTTCTGTTGACTTCAGATGGCTCTAACTCTTCTTGCAAATGGCTTTGTTGCCCCATGCCTAACTGCCTATTCCTGCCCAGGCCAGAGGAGTCCTCCTGCTCTAAGTCAGGCCAGTGCCTTCAAGATATTGCTACCACACCACTAAGCTGAAGGTGCTACAGGCAGGCTCTGGATCCAGCCAAGTCTCATGTGGCCGGAAAAGGAGATAGTCCTCATGTGAAGCTAGCACTACACTGGAGCCTGAGCTGTCTCTCACACAAGTAGGGGTTGTGTGGAAAAAAATCGGTATTTGGCAGACAGGTGGAGACATTTTTTGCTAACATCTCTATTTAAACAGAAATACTACATAGCATCAGGTTACCAGAAGTTGCTTCTCCTCTCAGTCTATATACTGCAACATTAAGTTTAAGGCTGATAGATATCATGAGGTTAATAACATCCCAGCTCCTAATGCCTACAGGTATGTTTGATCACATTGCTTTTCAGTTCCTTGCTGATTCATGGGCTTCTTCCTCCCTCACTAGGGCAATAGTCTCAGTGCTCTTGCTCAAGAGATGCCTAAATCAGTGTCTATATTGGTACCTAACCTTCCCCAAAGTGCAGGGTTCTTTTGTTTGGCTTCCTGATCTCACTTGGGTTTGCAAGAAACACGGGGATAAATGCTGAGCCTGACATATACACATGATTCAGGCATCCCCAAAAGTTCCCAGGGACCTGTGCCTGAAAAGCAATCAGAAGAGCTGTTCGGAACTTTTCTAGTGCCTGAAAAGCAATCAGAAGAGCTGTACCCATTCAAGCTTCCCTCGCTCCTCCTGCAGGTGATGCAATGCAGACACTACCTTCTCACTCAGGTTTGCAGCACTCTGACAGTGGAGATTTTGCCACGTCCCAGCCTCTCCACTATGAATCTTACTTCACTACTAAAAGCAACAGCCCCCACTCATGCCTCTCAAATTTGTGCTCTCCTTGATGCCAGCAATGCCCTGTGCCTCTCACCACTGTCTTTTTGAAGCTAGGTGACAAGGTTCCCCTCCTGCCCCACACACTGCGTGGCTGGAAATCACATATTAGGTGCAACTGAGAGGTGTAGTTTGCAGTCCCTCAGTTTGTTGACTGATGCAAAGGCTGTGGAAACTGCAGAGAGCGTGGGTCAGTGGCAGATGCCTGGGTCTTTACAAATGCTATTTGCTCTTTCTAACACTGAGAAGCCCACACTAAAAGGAATGCCTGGTGTGTAAGCACTCACAACTGCAGGTTAGCTGAGAAAAAACCATGTATTTAGTATAAGTGTCCCCTGTGTTTTTCTCTGTAATTTACTTAAGCAACAACCTTCAGCCTCACACTAAAAATGGAGAAAATCCTTCCAGAACTCACTAGCTGCTCCCATCACCTTTCCCATGCCTATTCACACTTGCGGATTGCCTCCTTTGTTGCCTGATGTTTTCAAGGTTTATAGCCCATTTCAGGCATCCATTTCAGTACCTGATTCAGTCTATATTACTGTGTGTGAGGGGAGGTCCTCTTCAGCTGGGGTGCCCTGGCAGTTCCTTCAGTCTCCATGCTAGCAAGGTGCAGTTCATTGCTGCCTCTGCTCAAGAGACAGCACCAGCCTGGAGGCAAAGCCACCTGCTGTGTCAAGCTGCTTGGCTCCTCTTTTGGAGAAGCATCAAGAACCAAATTTTCTGGTTCAGCTGAGCCATGCTGAGCCTTCAGCTAAGGTCACTGGGTACTGACAGAGATTGCTGGCAGTCTGATTTCAGGTCATTATAAATGGGTTCTGATGACCTCAGGGTCTAAACCATTTGCTGTTACAGTAGCTAGTGCTCAGGGATGTGCTGGGGCCATCCCTCCATTTCTGTGCTGATGAAAGGTACCATATAAATGCCCTATTTCTGTCTTATTCTTGACACTATAGAAATCCTACGGGACAGCTGTACTGACTTACATTTTCTTTGGTTCAGGAAATTCCTGCCCAAGGACATTTCAAAGTTTTACAAACAAACTTTCCTCCCTGTTTTCTCTGCTCTCCTCTCCCTACAAGGCAGGACCTCATTCTGTTTCACAAAAAACAAAGCAAGTATGAACCACTTACTTAATGTATGTATTGGCATTTCCCTCTGGAAAGATATATGGATGTTTCTTCCGGAAGACATGCCCAACGCGGCTGCAGGGAATGATTTCCAGGCTTCCTCCACACATCCACACACGGAAAGAGATTTCTGCAAGAGAAGCAGCTTCAGCATTTTGTCTTTCTTTCCTAGAGCAGTCTGGATCCTGGTGTTAGCTCTCACTTCATCCTCTACCACATTAAACTGGGGTAAATCAATTACCAGAGGGGCTTTCCTAGGCACAACGGCCTTAAAAGCTCATTTCAAAGCTTCTTGCAAGCTGTTTGAAGTCAGTGCACTTGAAACCTGCCTCTAGCACAGCAGGTGCTATCACAATGGCAAGTGCAAGATGGTAAGCAGGGACCTGCTTTTCATGCAGACCTGCTTACATCACAGAATCATCTTGCCAGTTTTGTGCTCCCCTAATTACTTCTACACTGCCTATTTCAGAGTCACTTCATCCAAACAGCTGTCAAGTTCATCAGGAGAGGCTAACAATTCTCACTATTGACGACTACAACTGCATTTATGAATCCACCATTGATCCTGCAAAGCGAACAGAGAGCTGTGCATCTATCACCTGTCCCAAAATGGACAGGAGCTTAGCCTGCCCAGGTACTCTGGGCCATGAGTGCCAACGTTGCAGTCCAGTAAGGCACACACCTTCACACAAAAAGGCCAGCAGTGGGATAGATTATTCCAAAAATAAGTTGTCAGTATGGAAAATGTCTCCCAGTCACCCCAAGCTGCTCTCTGGCTGGCCATGGGGCCCTTCTCAAGGAAAAGGAGTCTGTGGCACAATTGACACCAGAAGTTATGGAGTTCTTGGCAGGGAGCTGGATGAGGTAGGACGGGTGAGCAGAATGGCTGATCAGAAGTTACGGAGTTCTTGGCAGGGAGCTGGATAAGGTAGGACGGGTGAGCAGAATGGCTGATCTAATGAGTCCATCTGGTCCCAATGCTTATGCAGCTATAAATCTGCAGCTCTATTGTCAGACAGTCATGCTTAGACAGAACCAGCATGGAAAATAAATGAAATTAAAATGAAAAGGCTTCTGCTGTTCTTTGCTTCCTATTTTATCATCTGTTGACAGTATAGAGCTATCTATAGCATGTATCTATTCCAAAACTACTAATTAGTTTTCAACCCCCACCACTTAACTACAGAATTAAGACAGGAGGACACCCATCATCTTTGCCAGCTTGTGGTCCCAGCAGTCCCCTCACATATGCTAGCCCAAGGATGACTTATGCCCAGGCTGGACGCTGGCAAGACAAGCACCTGTGGCAGGAAGGCAAACTGGACAGGACTCCTCCCCCTACAATGGCAGGCACTGCCAGCCTACAAAGCTGCCATCCCTCCAAAAACAGCTTCAGGGAGCAAAGTCAGTTTGGAGCCATGACCTCCAAACTCTTCTCAGTACACATGGCTCAACCTTGAGTTGCATGTTGCTGCAGAGGTGGGAGCCAAGTTCATGTTGCTCCTGTCCCACTCACAGCATACCCAAACTGTTGGAAATGGGAGGCAGACACAGCTGCAAAGTCCTCTTGCTTTAATGCCCGGGTTCAAAATCCAAGGCTTGATCCCATCCCCAACAGCTGGCCCTGGCAGCAGGGCTGAGCAATGACAGGGGTGGGAAAACACAGCAGGCAGTATTCCTTTCCAGAAATTCCCTCCTCTTCCCTTCACTGTCATGTTTACAGGTAAGAGCTGCAAAAGCAGCTGGAGCTTCACCACTTTCCCCAGTGCTGGGTATTAACAGGCCAATAAAAGATGCCCTTGTGCCACGTCCTGGTGCTATATTGGGAGCAACCTTAATCACAGCTGCAGGGAAATGAGATTATGGCAGAATGTGGCCACCCTAAGCTGCTGCACTCAGTTCCCTTCACACGTGGCTGTTGCTTTCATTTGTCTGTGTGTCACAGCACAGGCCACTCTGCCAGAACTGCTGTGTAAATCAGAAGGGTACTCAATAGAAGGGCACAATCAGCTGAGCATCTGTAGATCACAGAGTGGCTACTGCTTCATGACTTCCTCTCCTCTGGTCCTTCTGCTCAGCCTGGGAGAAGAGCAGCTCCCTGAAGTGCTACAAGGGAAAGACTCACCATTCAGTCCTTGCCTGCTTTTAATTTAAAGTGCCTCTGTGCACTGTGAACTGGAATGAGGACACAGGGCTGGGAAGGCAGGAGACTGTGAGGAGTCTAAGCTCTCCACTTCAGACTAGTTGTACCCTGCAGACCCTGCTCCAGGCCCAGCAGAGACAATAAAAGCACAGATTTTCATGGGTAGGGATGACCCACAGAGCCATCCATGGCAGGTAACAAACAAGGTCTCCAGACAGGCAGCCAAGAGCTAAGGTAAACTCAAGAGAAGGTAAACTGAGGCACCAGCTAAAGCTTGGCACAGGGCCAGCTCAGAGGAGGCAGGGAGGCAGGAACCAACAGTGTACTTCACTTGACCCTTGAGAGGTATTGCCAGTGCAGGTGGCCCCTCCAAGTGACCCCCCAGGAGAGATGTGAGCAGTACACCTTGGGGTGTGCTGGGCTTGACCTTCACTCTGCAAAGTATCTTTAGGACTTCTTGTTGGCCTGCAAGTCCTTCCTGCCATTACTTATCTACAGGGAACTAAGTAAATGTAAGAAGCAAAACAGCTCTAATGTCCTCTTTCCAACCCAAACATGCTCACTTTTGTTTTGCCTGAAGTCTCCAGTCCCCTCTAGTTTCCCAGTCAATAACATTAAAGGCAGCAACAATGCTCCTCAGGACCAGAGTTGTGCATCCCCTCAGGACTAAGCTATCAGCAAAAGCATGGTTCACTGCAAGTGCCCAAAATGAGCAGCCACTCGGTCAGCTCTTGCTCTCCATCACGTGCCCAGAACTAACCGGGACCAGCAGGGTGTCAGCTGCCCTTGCCTCTGTGCAGAGGAGAGATGGGACATGCTGCCATCGACTGCTGTGCTTGCAAGAGATGCAGCTGTGAGCTAGGCATGCTTCTGCTCTCAGGGCAATGGGCAAGACAGGATTTGCCCTGCTGCTATGCAGACCTGCACTTTTTTGTTGCAATGTTAATCTGTCAGGCTTTCCTTTATCATGCTGATGCCCTGGCGAATACTGCAGCACAGCCAGCGCACATTTAGTCAGGAACAACCTCCCAGGGCATACAACCAGTAAGGGAAACCTTGCACTCTGTAGGATGGGCCATAACCATGGGTAAGGAGCACAATGCCTGCCATTACAGGGCATCGCACAAGCTGCCAGGATGGATCTGCCACTGAGAGCAGGCTGTCCTGTCACTGTTCATCTCCCAGGAGCAGCTCGGGCTGGCTGCTCTCTGAAATGAATGTCAAGCAGAGACAGACAGTGGGTCAGGCACAGTGTAGCAGTCCCTCTCCCCCTCTCCGCTCGACTAATTCCCTTCTGGAATGCTTTGTTTGGGGCATTGCTCCAGGAGGGGATGTGGGAGGGCTGCCACTCTGCTCCTAGGTTTCCTCAGGGACACCCCACACAGATGCTTCAGGTCAGTCCAGTGGCAAGATACCCACTGACAGAGATAAAGTGTGAAGGAGTGAGATTCTACTGTATAACAAGATATAAATAAATAAAATATGCTAGAGGGACAAGGCATGTGAAGGAAACAACAGTGCCAGGCAGCACATGGATTAGTGCAAGGTGGCAGTGTCTGTTCCCTTTTACAACTGACAGCATCATTGGATGTATTAAAACTGCAAGGTGGCAGTGTCTGTTCCCTTGTACGACTGACAGCATCATTGGATGTATTAAAACACAAGATCCTTCCTTCCTGGCTGGCCTCATTCCCCAGAGGTGCCAGCTATTAAAGCCAGGTTCTGATCTGTCTCCCTGACATCGAGTGCTTCTCCTTTCTCTTGTGGGTACGGTCTATTGCTCTGATCCACAGCACAGCTATGACTTCAAAGAGAGAACAGCCCAGCCTGATCCAGCTCCCCTTCACAACGGGGATGAGGCTGTTACCTCTTTCATGTGCTCTCTCAAGTTTGCATGCAGGAGATTTCTTAATGCCCATCTTGTCCCATGATAATGGGCAGAAGCTCTTAACCCTTTTCTTTGGTGCAGGAAAAGTGATAGTGTCATGGAAAGCCTGGCAGCACTCAGTCATCCAGTGATACAGGAATGGATAAGCAGCCATGTTACTTTGCCACCTGCTTGCAGCATGCCAATGGAGCTACTGTTTCATGCATTCTGCAAATTCTAACAGGCTACCATGCCTCATTTCATAGCTTCAAAATTCCATTTTCAATGGAGTGAGACACATCTTTGCTTCACTAAAGAGAAAACAAGATTATGAAAGAATAGGAGGGTATGTGTGGTGTTCTCTCATCTGTTGGAGCACACAAGCTGAAAACTTTGTAGTTTAGGGTATTTATCTACGGAAGATCAAAGCAACATGGAAGCCAGGCAGTCTTGAGTACCAGCAATTGGTCAATTCCCATCATTCATGGTTGTGGGATCCCTTATTCACCAGAGACCATAACCTATGAATGTGAGGTAAACCAACCAGAGCATTCAATATGAGGTCCAAAATGACCTTGTATCCATCTGGCATGACTCAGAAAGAGAAGCCAACACAGCAAGGCATTAGGAGGAAGAAGAGTAACTCACCAAAGTTCTCCCCACCCCAGATGTCCATGGCACTGTCATACTTCCCCAGGTGGTTGAACCAGGCTTTATCAATCACAAACAGTCCCCCAGCAATGATGGGTGTCCTGCAGAATGGGTAAGGAAGAAAGGACACTCCTGAATACCAGCTGCAGCATCTGGATGCACAGAAGTAGCCCTTCCCTTTGTCTCCTCTTCCACCATCAGGACATTACCTATGTATCACCTTCTCACCAAAAGAAGGACAACACACTTCAAAATGCATTTGAGCCTTTCTTTCAGCTGCCTTGGTATTTTGCTGTCAATCATAAATTGCCTGGCATTTAATGACTGGCTAATGCACCCATCAGCACAACTCCTACAAGCCCAAAGTTCACAGCCCTGATTGTAGGCTTCAGCATCAAAAATGCACTTAGCACTCAGGGGGTTATTCACTCAGACGAGTTTTTTGCCTGAAGTCAGCCTAATAAGAGCACCATTCCACTGGGGAGGGGAAGGCAGACCCAATTCAGAAGGGCTTTTAAAAAGCCATCACTAGCTGTGTGATCTTTATTTCAAAACAGGGTTATTTTTCATTCTTTGGATTAGCTAAGAAAACTGCACAGAAAAGGTGCATGGAGGAGGGGAGGGCAGACCCAGAAGACAGCTTGAGAAGACTTGCTATTTGCTGGCACAAGTCCCATCTCCATTCAATTACAGTCAGTGTGGATACCTCAGCATAGGCTTGTGAGGAGCTGGGGTGACTGCTGCACTCAGGCTAGTCTCTACAGTGTGCTACATTGCAGGATGATCAGGAATGCAAGGTGAGCCTTTGGAAGCCAGTGAGAGCTACTGTTACAGCAGCATCCTAAGGAGGAGGAGTGCTTTGCTCCCCTGGAAGCTTTCTGAGGCCCTGAGCTTGCCCCAACACTTCATCTCCCTCATGCCACACATCCCAGCAGTTCATGGCTGGGGCTGCAGACACCAGCACCAGGCTTGCTACCAGGAGAGATTTTCAGCAGAATGAAGGACTCCCTCCATTCCATGGCATAAGGACAGATGGCATCTCTCCCATTCAGTTTCACTCTCTGTCCCACACATCCCCCATTTTTGAGAAGAAGAGCAGTGCTGATCTGGAAAGGCTGGACTAGACAGGTTTTTATCACATGAGCTGAGGAGACCGCCATGTTTTGAAGTGATAGCTGAACTGAGAGAAGCTGTGGCCTACAGCAGTGGGCTTTTTCGCTAACCATGGTCAGCCTCCTTAGCACTACCAAAACACCAATAATCATAAATATACCCTTTCTATCTTTGTGGCACCCTCAGGCTTCAGTGTTGGAAGGTGAAGCTGTCCTGCAAAACCCAAGGTCCAGGAGCTTGCTAGAGGTATTACAAGTTTAGAGATGTCCTGGAAGGAGTATCATGCTGCTGCAGTGCATGGGGGACACACATGAGGTCAGATGAGAAGATCCTGCCCCACATTTCTCAGGTGGCTCCTTCCCCCTCTTGACTTACTTAATGGGTTCAGTGGGATCAAGTCGTTTGGCTTTCTGTTCTGGGGATAGCTGCTCCCATTTGAAGTGCAGACTCCAATCAAAACCTAAAACCAAAGAAGAGAAGTGCCATAGGGAAATTAGAAATTGGTATGGATTAGGAGCAATGCAGAATGCAGAGCCCTGTTTGATGGAGCATTTTCCCCACTTTCAAATGACTTAAGCCATGGAGATACAGCTCTTGGGAGAAGAGTCCAATGACTAACATATTTTACTACTACATATGAACAAGAAGCAACACATTGCACTACAATTACAAAGTCAAGCACTCCAAAGGCAGGAAAAGTCAGGATTAAAGCTGCTGCCGAAACCTCAGTCCCCTTGTGCACACACGCTCTGATGGACACTGCGTGCTACAAATATCTAGCATACTAATAAGCGCTACAGTTGCATCGTCCATTTGTTGCCTAGACATCCCTCATCCCCTCCTGTCGCTTTCAGTGCTGCCAAGAGTGGCTTTGACATGACCCTTCTTTCCTGCTTGACTGCCTTATCCACTGTAGCAAACACTATTCCCCATGCCACGCTTACCTGTCTCTAAAACAGCCTGGAAGCATCAGCAGGGGGCATCAAGATGTGCTAATGTGCTTTTTTTTGCGAGATAGCAGGAGATAAATGTGTGGTGCAAAGTCACCATCTCCTCAGGCCAGTGCAGGTTCACACCACATGGGGATGCCCATGGGGCATGCACGTGGCTTGGACTTACCGCCTCTGAGGTCTGAGGAAGCTGCCACATAGGCAAAAGTGTCCAAGTTGATGATGTCAATAACGGGGCTGACCACTCGGGTGGGATCCTGGAAAGCAGAAGCAAAAAGGCCCATGACTTCAGATGACACCACTCAAATTGGTCACGGGTTGCTCCAAACTCCTGGAGACACCAGGTGGCTGGAAACCTTGGTGTCATTCAGGTTTGTCAGGGACAAGTGCCCAACACTGCCTCCTCATCCTCATCCAAGGAACTAAGTAGCACAGGTACTGCTGGGAGACAGGGGCACACCAGCAAGAGGCTGGAAAGGCAGGCACCATCTCACTCAGAGAAGAGAGCTGTAGGGTCCTGGGCCACTGAGCTGGCATCTCTCACCAGCTTTGCCTTCACCCACAGTCCCTCACCCTCCACAGGCTGTGCCTATACTCAGCACCCAGCTGGGCTGGATGCAAAGCTCCTTCTGCCTTTTGCTAATTCACCAATGTATTCCCCTTTCACCTCCGTTAAATCCTTTTCACCAGATTTTAGAAGTCAGGTGATATACAGGCAGTTGAAATGCAGAGGAAAAACACAGTCAAGTAGCTAAAATACAGGTATTTTTTAAAACGCGCAAACTGTGGGGATACAGTTAGACTTTTGCTAAATGTGTGAAAGGATTAAAAAAAAAAGACCTGATTTATTTAAAATAGTTGGTGGTGATTTAATTAACATCTTGTTATGGGCAAAGAGATTTTACAAACAGTTATGAACAAAAATATCTACAGGAGGAAAAGACTCTGACAGCTTTGACTGGTGTCTTATCTCCCTTTTTCTTTTCAAAAAATCCCAAACTCCAATTATAGCTCAAACTTCAAGGTTTTAGCTTCACCAGATCAAATTGTTTTTCACAGCCATACAAAGGAAAGCATCTGAGCACACGCGAGCTTGCTCTCTCGCTGGGAAAAGTCTTTGTTTTAGAAATTCGTCCTGACAAAGAAGCATTTAAAAAGCAGCTATAGGAAGAAGCAACCAAAGGCCGTGAGCTGGGAGCTGGACTAGAGCTCAGATTTTCCAATTGAGCATGACAAATACTTTGTATTTCCATAACAAGGTCAAGTAGGGAGTCTTAGCCTCACTTCCTGTGAGTCAAACATCTCACTGAAATGGCAAGGTCTGCAGTACCTACGAATTGCATGGGGAAACTAGAAGCAACCCCGTGAGCTGGGAGCTGGACTAGAGCTCAGATTTTCCAATTGAGCATGACAAATACTTTGTATTTCCATAACAAGGTCAAGTAGGGAGTCTTAGCCTCACTTCCTGTGAGTCAAACATCTCACTGAAATGGCAAGGTCTGCAGTACCTACGAATTGCATGGGGAAACTCAAGTCACATCCAAGTACTATGAGCCTTTCAAACCCACCAAATCCATCGTGGCTGCTACATAATTTTCCAATTGAGCATGACAAATACTTTGTATTTCCATAACAAGGTCAAGTAGGGAGTCTTAGCCTCACTTCCTGTGAGTCAAACATCTCACTGAAATGGCAAGGTCTGCAGTACCTACGAATTGCATGGGGAAACTCAAGTCACATCCAAGTACTATGAGCCTTTCAAACCCACCAAATCCATCGTGGCTGCTACATAGTGCCCCCCAAGCTGTCACAACTCAGTATAGCCAAGCATCCTTTAGTTGCCTGAGGGTAGGTGAAAGGTATTAAGCAAAGCATCTGCTTTGTGTTCTGAGCACTGCAGGGAAAAGGTTTGTATCTGCTCATTTAAAACTTGGCCCTCAAGAATCTTAGCACTTCTAACTAGCTGACAGTCATCCCCAGTTTCAATTCCACTGCTACTCTACTGCACAGCACAATTTCTCTAAGAAAATCCCCTTCACATCTTGGCTGAGTGCATTACTGCAAAATGCTAGCCTTCAGCAGTGCTGCCTTCTCCCTGTCTCACTTTTCCCTACCACGTCCTGGAAACATTTGTATTTACTCAGCTTTCATGAAGGTCTCTCTGACCCTCAAAGATAAAGCACAGCATGCTCAAGAGCACAGAGCTGTTGCTGTGATTTCTTTTGGGCTGTGAATCAGTTCTTATTATAGGCAGCTTCCCCTTTCTGTTTTTTTGATACCTATCCTTGCCAGGACATGTTAATATTAACAATACCCAAATCTTCAAGCCTCTTTCACAAACCTGAGAATTCATTTCTTCAATACACTTCTCAAACATACCAAAGTACAGATCTAAATCAACAGGAAAAAAACTCTGAAAATGAACCTGAAGATAACATACATTTCAGCCTTGGAGAAGCACCCAAACTGCACCTTGTCTCCCAGACTCTACATCATGTAATGGTCAGCAAAAAGGGCTTTAGTTGCTCCTCTGACCCCACAGAAGCATTAGGCACAGTAAGAGGACCAGCCTGCCCCTCATGTGGCTCCTCCTCTCCAGGAGAGCACCAGACTGGGAGGGTTTTGAGCTGAAAGTGGGGCGTCACCAATCACTGTTTCATCCCAGTGCCACTTGCAAACCCAGTTTTGGGGCAAGCTTGTTGAGTCATACTGTAAAAATACCTCAGGCCGGATAATTAAATTATTAAAAAGTTATTCAGTTGAAATGCACCAAAATTAATGAGATATTTGTTCCGTAAGTAAAAACAAGGGCCCATGCCTTGTGTTCTCAGTCATGCGTTTGCAAACACACTGGTGCAAGACACCGATCATTGTTGCTGCTCCCTGGGGGACACACCCTCCCAGGCTTAGGTCTGAGATCCCCCAAACCTCCTCTCTTTCCCCCACACTCCATTGCCTGCTCTCCCTGCTTGTTTCCAAATCCATATGCTGGGCACATGCTGCCCACACCCACCCATTAGCTGCTGGGAAAGCTCAACATGGGTCTTGAGGGGCACCTTCACACGGGTGCATGGTGGCACACATGGGCCCTGGAAACGCCATGGCAAGGTGCAGGAATAGCTGCTCTGACTGAGAAAATAGCAGAAGCGATGCATGGGGTGGTTGGCTAGTGGTGGCAAAAGGGCTGGATCTGTTTCTAGGCACTCACTGCTCCTTTGCTTGGAACTTAAATCAGACTGTTCCTAGGAGTAAGAGAGTGAGAAAATGCTCTTCCTAAGCGGCTGATCATTCGGACAGGGAACCCATCTCTTGAGCACAGCCTGAAGGTGGCAGCAGTAACATTTCATACACTTCACTGATCAATACTTTAACCCTGATGGAAAGGATGGCTACAGGGGGCCTGGGAAGAAGAAAACCGAGGACTCTGCCCTTATCCTGCAGCTTCTGAGGGCAGTTAAAAAGTAAGCAAGTGGGATCCCCCTTGCTTTTTAAGTCCCTCAACGCTCTTTGTAGTACATCTCTCTTGCTGCCTGGGGCTGCAAGATTGAGAACAAGGTAAGGGCAGCATGAGCAGCTATGCAAGCTTACAGACTGTCTTACTTCCAGCTGGAGAAAGATTCAACCCAGAAGAGCAAATAGAAAGAGTTCACAGAGGTCATGCATGCATTTGGTGCTATATTCAGACCACAAGGCAGTGAAATTCCTACGGTGATGCTACACATGGCATTTCATGTTCACCTACCCCACACGTGCTGAAGGTGGGGCACCACCTGGGAAAGCAGATCTGCCTGCCCCCTTCCTGCTGCCATCACTGCCCCTCTGCTGCAAAATCACATTGAAAGCTCTGTCTGGCAAAGAGGCAATTGCTCCAGTTATTCCTCACTGAAGTACAGCAGGGCTCTGGCAGAGAGTGAAGAATGCCTGCCTTAAAAAGGCTCAGAGGAACAACTGATGCTGCAAAGTTTAGTGGTGAATCCCACCCTGGGCAGGCCAGCTACGAGGCTTGAGTTGGGTATCATAGCACGTGTTCTCATAATTTCACCAGAGCTGCAATCGATAAGATGAACAGACCATTTTCATTACATTACCATTTATCAGCAGCACTCTGGCCCAGCCTCCAAACCGAGGCTGGGACCTCTCCAGCACTGGCTGCACTGACTGCCAGCAGCACCAACTACCCTTGCCCACTGCGGAGGGACCTGACCTGGTGCTGTGCCCCCTTCCCCCTGTCCCATCACTGACGTGCACAGGGGATGCACAGGCCAGCCAGCACAGCTATCAACACAGGCGATTGGATGAGGGACACTGTGAACACCAGCCAGGCAGGTTTCTCCATAACTCACCTCCTCAGCTTCCCCTTGCTCCTCAGCTGCCCTTATGTCAACACAATTCAGTAGTTTAAAAATTACTGAGTAATTAGCACTAGCAATCAGGAGCCAGAGGTGTAGCAAGGGTGAAGGAACAAGGCATGGCAAAGAGAAAGGACTATGCATCTGTGCTGAAGCTGAAGGTTTCATCCCTTGCACCCTGGTGCCAGCAGGTCATCCGCACAGAGCTCCCCCTGACTCAACTGACAAGGCACCAGGAGCCTCTGTGCACACGTCTGGAGAGACAGTCGCCGCCGGCAAAAGGTGAATGTCATTGTCTGCTCTGAAATCAGCAGAATTTTAATCCTATTAAATCAATTTATTAGTGCTTAATTTGCATGAAATTAAATTCGGCCCCTATTCAAGGAGCCGTCACTCCCTTAAATCATCATCACTGAGCATTTTACATGAGCCTAATTAAAAACTCTGCTGGAGCACTGCCCATGTATTCCCCTTTCACCACTCAACCCGTGCTTGCTGGTTAGAGCCTCATTGCCCTGGGAGGCACCTTGTCCCACCCACCCACATGTTCCTGAAGCCACAGAGACACCCCACCTGGCCTCTGGGTGGAGGAGGACCAGAAAAGGCCATTTTGTATCCCAGAAGCTCATTGCTTCCTTATTCTGATGTCTGCATCCAGTTAGTTATGGTTGGATGGTCATGCCCATTGAGAGGGAAGAGGAGGTGGACATCAGAGATGTGTTCCCTGAGGGTAGCCCTCATCTCTCAGGAGCACTCACCTCTTTGATCCTCTGCAGTAGAGGGAGCAGCCAGTCCTTATTCACCTCACAATGACTGTCCAGAAAGGTCAGGACACCTGCTTTGGCCACATCTGCCCCTTGGATTCGGGACCGGATCAGACCTGTTCAAGGACACACCATGTCAGCTGCTGCCCAGATGGCTGGGTAACATCCCCAGGCTCCTCCAGCGTGTACTCCTGCACTCATGCATCTCCTGGGTTTTGATCTGGCTAAATCCCATTCAGAGAAAACATGTCCCAGGTTCATTATCTCCTTCACAGTGCTGCAAGGTACACCAACCATTTTCTAAGGTCCTCAAAGCAAATAAATAGCTTCACCAAGATTAATGATTTATGGCTTTTATGCCAATCCTTAATTTGCACAATTAATTCTGCTGTCACCTTCTGGGGCAAATGCAACTCAAAAATGCTTTCATGACCCCTGGCACGTAATACATCTAACACAGACATAAGGCAGTAGGCAATGGGCCAAGGGAGTGGAGGGTGGGATCACTTCATGTCAGAATTAGGCCTTTCTTAGACTGCTGATTTCCCTGCTGTGTCCCTTTCCATGTCTCAGTGACCCACAGATCTTTCTCCCACCCTGGGGACACTGCTGATCTGCAGCTTAATGGGAACACATTTTCTACCAAGGAAGCAGGTTTGGCTTTCAAGGTGCTAAGAGCCCATTTGGTTTATCAGGGCCCTGATGGTGAATTTAGAGTCCTTTGGAGATGGGACTGGATCTCTGCATACATTTGTGAGAGAGAAAAATGAACAAAGAGGGAGCTCATGGAAAACAGCTGCACACGTGGATTTCACACTAGACTCTTCAGCAAGATCACTGCACCTAAAGATGCTCTGTTCCTATTTATGCAGGAGTTAACCAGCTTTCCAACACTCCTCCTGCCTGCAGTGGATACTCAAGTGAACCACGGAGTAAGAAAGGAGATGGTCTATTGGCAAACAGGAGAAGATGCAGGTTACTCAAGGGAAGCAGAGCTTCATTATGAAGGAGACACAGTGGCAATACGAGAGGACATAAGGGCCAATAGAGAGAGAGAAGGGTTTCAGGGCGCAGTCACATATCAGGTCTGTGCAGGAGGTCACTGACTTTCATATTAAAATTCCTTAGAGAAACAGGGTCAAGGAACAGCCTCTGCACAGGAGGGAGAGGGACTGGAGAACAAAGCCTGGAACAATCCAGCATTTGCCAAGGTTACCTGCTGCAACGCAGGTTGTTCCTGTATCTCTCTCTGCAACTCTTAAGGTCTGGAACAATCCAGCATTTGCCAAAGTTACCTGCTGCAACGCAGGTTGTCCCTGTATCTCTCTCTGCAACTCTTAAGGTCTTGTGGGTAGGTATGGTGTTCTGTAACCACCTCAGCCCTCCCCAAATCCTGGCAGGCCCTAAGAGATGCAGTTTCAGTGATATATTAAGCAAGGGAAGCCCTCCAGGCTGGGTTCCCAAATTCTGACTGATTTATAGGGCACCAAAACAGAGCCAGAGATGAGCACATATGTACGCCCATAACACAGAAGAAAAAGGTGAGAAGGAGGTGCAGGTCTATGGAGACCTCCCCTACCCTCCTGCCGAAACAGGTGTCTCTTACACCCTGTCACCAGAACTGCAGAGTTGAAACCCTTTGCAGAAAGAATCCACAGAGGAACCATCTCCACTCCTCAGTCCAACACTCACCTGGATGCACTTCGATCTTCAGCATGAGAAAACTTCTTAGTTTTTTGTTTTCCTAATACTACAGAGCAGGATTTGAAAACACCCATTCAGGCTACAGGGAGCTGGAAAATTTCTCAAAAGGTTGCCAGCAGCAGCCCAGTAGGACATACATTCATCTTCCATATAGCCCTTCTTAATCTTTCAAATATAATTAATTATTAAAAAAAATAAAATCCCACAGAAACAGCAGGAGCAGATCTCCTCTCTTTCACTAGAGCAAACATCTTTACAAATAAGACCCGGGGCTTTGTTTTGCCTGTTCTAATTTTCTGGCTAATAAGCTACAGCTGAGCCTCACTGGATATCTTAATAGTCCCATCTTTTTCATCAAGAGAGGGGAGATCCATTTCAAATCCCAGCCTTTCATCACATTTCCTTTTATCAGGGCCTCCCCATCCCCAAGAGCCTCTGACCTCCCTTGTTGGCCACTCCATGGAGGTTGCCCCTGGCTCCATCACTCTCACACCTCCCAAAATCTGGGTTTCCCACCTGGGTTGTGGGCAGGTAGCTCTTACCTTCTCGCCGTCCATTCCGCAAGCACTTGACCTTGGGGAGCTGGCCCAACAAGCGGCAGTCGTCAGCTTGGGAAAACAAAGGGAGGACACGTCACCCTCAGCCCCCAGGGTGGCTCTGGCAGCAGAAATGGGGAGACCTAGGGAAGACTGGGAGCAGGGAGAGGACCTGGACTGATTGATGGCTTGTTAGGGTGATGGCACTGCTAGTTCACAACAGTCTTACCCCTCAGCTCATGCAGCATAAATCGAGACTGGCAGAGCAGCAGTTTTCATAAAACTAGTGTAAATTCAGCAGATTTACACTGAAAGCAGCTGAATAATGCTCTAAAATCAGCATAGAAGAGTCGTGGTTGGGGTCAGAATCTGATTTTTTGCACATTAATGCAAATGGCTATTTTTGGTAGCTGCAAAGCGACCCACAAGCTGTTTGACGAGTGTCTGCCTGGCAGGACACAAGCTTTCTGTGGTGGCCTGGAGCCTTCAGCAAGGGGAAAGGGACGGTCAGAGAGTCCTGTGGAGCACCTGGGGGCTCCTCATGCCCTGGACAGCAGCTCCATGAGGAAGAGAGGCCTGATAGCCACTCACACCCCAGAAAGGGAGGTCCTGCAATTCCACACACAATTGCTGCTATAGCTCTTGCCCAGGTTCTGCCTTTAGCCCCAGGATCCCCCCTCACTCGGATTTCTCTCAGCAAAGTGGAGGATGCCAGAGCAGTGCCAGAGCTGTGTCTGCAGGCAGGGGCACCCATCACAGCCTCCTCTTCTTCGCACACCCATGCCCTGACCTGCACAACCCCTTCATGCCTCTCATCACTCTGCTTCCTCTTTCTCAGCACCGTAAACACATATGCATATGCCCCATCCCCTCTGGCCAGCCCTTGCATCAACACACACCTCCGAGTGCTTTCATCCTCTCCAACAATCTTTGTTGACAAGAGACATCACTGTACCCATACTCCTAACAACTCAGGGACAGAACTGGAACAGGGGAGCAGAAGCAGCATAACTTGGCCACGAACCTACAACGGAAATCTGCTGGGAGTAGTGGGAACTCGTGTGCAGAATAGCTGTAACTCAACAAGTCAGCAGGCAGAGAGAGGTGAGAATCAAGACACAACCAGGCATGAGATAAAAGCACTAATTGCATGGGGTGGGTTGCAGTGTAAAAACTGACCATATGTGTATAGTGTATTATGCAAATACATGTATTTTATGTAAATGCATGCAGAACAGATGCCAGCAGGCTCAGACTATCACAGGAAAGGAGATGTCAGATAGCTGAGAAGCACTGAGTTCTTGAGGGGCTGCTCTAAGTTACGCAGGAAACAGGCTCCCCCGTGGTGCCCTGGGATGTGTTTAAACACAGCCCTGCTCCTTCTCCCCAGATCACGGCACTTGGCACACTCTGACTGGGGAGATACATTTCTACAAACCTGTTTCTTTTCAGGATGGCAAGTGCTTTGTCTATTTAACCAAATACCCAGCATTTACTTCACTCACCCTTCAAAAATCCTGCTCTGCTGTACTCCAGGGCAGCTCAAGTCCTTGCACCTGCTCCTTTTCCCCATCACAGTTGTTCTGCTGTTCCCAGACTTGCCTAGTCTGCCCACCCTGTGCACTGGAGCTGCTCCAAAGCTCACCATAATCACAGCAACTCCTCCTAGCTTCAGCGATTTCCCAGGAAGGTGTCAATGCCAAGAAGTGGGTCTTGTGCGAAATCTATCCCTAATGATCTCTGAAGCAGTGCCTATTTATAACATCGAAGAGCAAAGCGTAGATCCTTTTTCTTTTAAAACCTGTCTGGCTTTGTTTTCAAATTTCCTAGTAAATGGCAACATTTCACAGCTCCTTGAAATGTAAATGCCACAGACCACTCAGCCAGTGTATTTTATCATCCTTTTTATGCCTGAGACAGTATTTTTGAGCACTTACTCTGAGCACCTGGATCTTCTACTCGCCCATTGCACTGGGTAAGGTCTTTAGCTGGGGTGTTTCCCTGGGAGCCCCAGGGGCTTCAGCTACATTCTACTGGAGGATCAGACCTATTGATTTCACTTGAGTCAGACTAATAACTGGGAGAGAATGGCAGGAGGATGTGGGCTGTCTGTGTGGCATGCAATGCTATTTATGGTGCATCTCAGAAATGGGCAACCCACGCAGGGATCTTCTTTATATGGGTGAAAAAGAGGGTGAAAAAAAGCACTGACCACCTATGTAAATGTATGCAGAACATATACATAGGTCAAGAAGATCAGACTGTCATAATCCCGTGCAATTCCAGTGATGTCAACCCAGAACTCCTCCTGGTTGCAGCTGAAAACCAGATCAAACACACCATGGCTATGGCAGGATACAACCATGTAATGATTGGATTCACATCTACTGGGCATAAAAACGATTTGCCATGCACTTTTCTTGCATTATTTTCATGAGAAAAGGTTTGATCATTTGGAATTTGAATTCTCCATGTGGCAATGCAAACCTGGCACAGCAGGGTTTGCTCTCCACAGCTACAGAGCTTCAAATTTCCTTCCACTTCAGCAAACTCTCCCCCCTCTCTGTGTAAATTCCAGTCTCTCACAGGCTCTTCCATTTTGGCCCCTTGCTTTTAACACAGAAAGGGTCACTTACGATCATCACTGAAGTCATCCACTAGTATGATTTCATGGACGAGATGCACTGGGGTGCGGT